TCAGTAGTATCATATGCTGCAAAAATGTAAACTAAGAGTATGTACTAGATTTAGCAATATGAGGGTAACAAGGGCAATCTCAATAGTTGTGAGGCAGAAAAGCAGATTGCAATGAGTTGGAAAACGAATGGGAACATAAATAAAGCAGATTTCCACATTTATCTAATATTGAAATTTTGCACATATCACCTAAGTAAAGCTTTAACGTAATAAGCTCTGGTAAATCACTAGAAATTTAATATTTTCACAAACAATACCTGTATCACTGAGTGCTCTTAACAACACAAAATTCCTAGTTGCTCTGAAAATAAGAACTTTCCCTTTTGGGGAGCCTGGGTGGCTTAGTCAGTTAAGTGTCCAACTTTGGGTCAGGTCATGATCTCATGGTTTGTGGGTTTGTGCCCCACATTGGGCTCTGTTCCGACAGTGTAGAGCCTACTTAGGATTCTCTCTCAAACAAAAATAATATAAAAACAGGGAGGGGGACAAAACATAAGAGAATCTTAAATATGGAGAACAAACAAAGGGTTACAGGAGAGGTTGTTGGGGGGGGGGATGGGCTAAACAGGTAAGGGGCATTAAGGAATCTACCCCTGAAATTCTTTTAGCATACTGTTGCACTATATGCTAACTAACTTGGATGTAAATTTAACAAAAAGAAAAAAGAAATACCTATTTCCTTAAAAATCAGAAAACCAAAAAAAAAAAAAAAAAAAAAAAAATATTCTCTCTCTCTGCTCCTCCCCCACTCACACTCACTGACTCTCAAAACTAATACTTAAAAAAAAAACTTTCCTCCCTATTCTGATTAAAATATTTATTCTTAAAATCTTCTTGCTGCTAACATCCTCCAATCCCAGTATTCATAGAATAAATCACAGAATCTTCTAACAGCTAGGTACTGTCCACTGAAGTATAAAGCATTACAAAGTACATATATAACACGTATCAAAGTGTATGCCACTGGAACAAATTTTAGAGATATTTACTCACCTTGTAATTCTATGGAGGAGAAAAATTGTCCTTTTACTTTCCACAGTTATATCCCGACTAAGTTTCACAAGTCTCTCGTATTTGTCATGTCTTGCATCAAGTTCCTGCTGAAATGCTAAGAACACATTATTACAACCATAAGCATGCATATTCTATACTTTGAGCCTATCAAACATTGTTGATAGGCACAATAGAGCAACTATTATTGTTATTAGGCACAACAGAGCAACTATTATTTACTCTATTTAACTCTTATCTATTTACTCTTAAACTATTTATTTACTCTTATTTAACTATTATTTACTCTATATATAAGATATAAAATATAAAAATAAAGAGCAAATCATCTCATTTACTTTTAAAGCATTTGGAAATTACAGACTGTGTTCTTTGAACACAGGTATGCTTTAACTGGGTTTTGCCACTCACAGCCTCACAATAAGATGTATATACTGTAAAAAAATACCCCATCTAGTAAACATGAGATTGTTATCACAGAACTATCACACAGGACTTTAAAAAATTCCTTCCAATTACCTAAGTTACATAACATTTTTAATCATCTTGTTTTAATCATATGCAATATTATCTCCCCCTCAAAAAAATTGATTTCATTAAAAAATAAAAGTTTATAACTTTTAATGACATCAACTTTCTGAATTTCCAAGCCCTAGTCACTAAAATATCCATAAACCACTTAACTCTTAATTAATAACCGCTTTATTTCAGAAGCATTGTTACCCCAAAGACCCAGCAAACTGCCTGCCCTATAGGGAGCACCCAGATGTATTTTGCATGAATTAAAAAAACCCAAAACTTGAATAAACTATTAACCACATAACAGGCTGACAAGGACCAAAGACACCTGCCCTTTTATTATTGAGATAATAATTAAGTTCGGATTTTGTCTATTTCAAGACAATCAAAAGTTTTTATTTATTATGAACATTAATGACTACTGTGAATTAAATACCATGAATACAAAGTTATATAAGACAAACCCTATCCTCGAGCTTAGTCCAGTATAAGACAAAATTGTAAATAAGTTAATAAAATACACAATAAATCTATGTAAAGGTTTGGGAAAGCAGGGTCCACATTCTTCTTGTTCACTCCTAACACATACTAGAACATGATAGATGATCAGTATTTCATGACTGAATGGATGAACGGATAATTAATAAATGCAATATCTGTCAATAAATTTGCTTGAGAGAAAAATCACAAAGGCTTCAAAGGAAGAAGCTACTTGAGTGGGGTCTTGAGGAAAAACCACAGTTCACCAGATGGACAATGGGGGTACCAAATGAGAAGCAACCCTGAGCTTAAAGAATTACATGTGAAAAGGCACAGAAACATACAAAAGCAACATGTGCTTGGAAACAAGCAGCTGTGTCAGATGTGCCACAGAGTATCAGGCTGGGGAATAGGTGGCCCATTGCAGGTTTTCCACTGTGTATACAGTCCTATCAATACACTCTCTAATCAATCACAAGTGGTCTTATACCTCTGAAGATCACTGTAAGTGCTGTGGTGGTTTTAAAACATGCCTGCACATTAAGGAGGGCACTTGTTGGGATGAGAACTGGGTGTTATATATAAGTCATCAATCACTGGGTTCTAGTCCTGAAGCCAAGACAGTGTATTTTTTGAGAATAAAAAAAAAAAAAAATAATAATAAAGATGTGGTGTATGTATACACACACACACACACACTCTCTCTCTCTCTCTCTCTCTCTCTCAATGGAATACTATTCAGCGATGAAAAGTAATGAAATTGTGCCGTGTGCAACAATGTGGATGGAACTGGAGGGCATTATAATAAGTGAAATTAGTCACAGAAAGACACAGCATATGATTTCATTCATATGCAGAATTTGAGAAACTTAACAGATGAACATAGGGGAAGGAAAGGAAAAATAAGATAAAAAGAGAAAGGAAGGCAAACCGTAAGAGACTCTTAAATATAGAGAACTGAGGGTTGATGGGGGGACAGTGGGTTAAATGGGTGATGGGCATTAATAACGAAGGGCACTTTTTGGGATGAGCACTGGGTGTCATATATAAGAGATGAATTATTGGGTTCTACTCCTAAATCTAAGACTATACTATACATTAACTAACTTGAGAACGAACGAATGAATAAAATAAAATATGCCCACAAGTTATTCCACCTTCAGTAGGTGGAAACTAATTCCCTTCCCCTTAAATATGAAGTTTTTAAGCTGCTTCATTTCTAAGAGAGGGTAGCAAAAGTGACTATGTATCATGTCTGAGATCAGGGCATAAGGCCACTATGGCTTCCTCCTTGCTCTGACTGGGGGAAGCTCGATGCCGTAACATCAGGACCCTCAAGTAGTCCCATGGAGGAGACCATGTGAGGAAGTGGGAGCTGGCTGTTGGCAGAAGGCCTAACTTGCCAATTGCTGTGGATCCTGCAGCCCCAATCTAGCCTTCAGATGACTGCAAGTTGGAAAGGACAGCTCAAGCCCTCTCAGGTTCCTGAACCACAAAAACTGTAAGGTATAGGAGGGTGGCTGGAGGATACAGGGAAGGAGAATTTTGTTTTAGGGTTTGTTTTGAATAAAGAGCAACTTGACCCAGTTAAAAGGACAACTGTGAAAAAGTACATACATACACATAAACATTATATATACGAATAGTATATACATAACACGTACATATATGATTTACTAACAGAGTTCCCACTCTGTGCAAAATGTTGAGTCAAAACAAAAGTGTGGTCCCTGTCTTCAAAAGTCTGGCTGAGGAAACAAAACCATCACATGCTTAAAAGTTATTAACTACATATATATATATATATATATATATATATACACACACACACACACATACATACATATATATACACATATACACATACACACACATATATACATATATATATACACATCTGACGTTTATTTATATATCAAGTACACAATAATTTTTAGTTATATGGCATGTCTGATGTTAACTGTTTACCTGTAGACCTGTAATGAAAGAAAAAAAAAAAAAAAGTCAAGACTTCAGTAATCTCGACTTTAATGGCAGACCTAACACCATAGCCAACCTCCAGGAAAAGTAAAAGATTCACACACCCACATCTTAAATTCTGATGGGCTGGTTTTTTGTTTTTTGGGTTTTTTTTTTTTTTTTGCGTGCACAACATGTCTAAATTATCCTTGTTACAACCTCTTTAGTTCTCTTCCCTTCGTCAACTTACATTACAGAGAACTTACATTTGAAGGCCAACATCACAGGTGAAGATGAATTAACATCCTTCCCTTCTCTTCTCTGGTTATGTGGGAAATTGTCATGCTTCCTTTTCCTGAACCCTCCTGATCCTTATGTAGAGAAGGAGAAAAAAGTTGGACAGGGCTCTTCCACCAACAAGACTTACAACGTAAAGTCAGCTAACCCCTTCCTTCCTCTTAAACCAGTGTCCACGGGGCTCTCGCCTTAGAGGCTTTCCCAGCGGACTCGCAGAAAACCAGCCTTGCTTTTTCTCCCCAAACCTTCAGCTCACCTCACTCAGGCTTCCACCAATGGCTTCCCTGATCTGGCACAAGGTGGAGCAATTACCGAACTAAGATTAAAAATAACAGGTCTTTAAGAAAAAGAGAGGTGTCAACAGGACCAATGTGGCCGGGAAATCACCGGGGCCGCCGCCTCCCCGAGCCTGCAAGGGGAGAGGGCATCCCTCAAGGGTGAAGAGAGGTGGAAAATCCGACAAAAAGGATGGAGATCCTCCCCCTTTGAATAAATAACGCCCAGTGCCGCCGAGGACGCCACCTTCTTTGCTGCTCATGTCGTCACGGCCTACGGTGAGATGAGCTGAGACTGAGGGCCTTGGAGCGAGACGAGTGCGCAAGGTGCCGGCCGGAGACCTGCCGAGGAGCCCTTTGCAGCCGGCCGACGTCTACGCACTGGCCGGAAGCGCGCGGCGGCAACCACTCACGCCTCTCCCTCCGCCCTCGCACACTTCCGGCCTGCACAACGGCCCCCTCCCCCCGTCCCTGGCTCCGCCCCGCGCACGGCCCGGGGACCTCGCGCCCGCTCTCTGTTGTTGTGCCTGCCCTCTGCTGTGCCTGAAGACAGAACACCTTCACACACTTCACTGCATGGTCTGTTAATAAAACAGACGACGGAAGCGAGGCGTGTGTGAAAGTGGAAAGAGGCGGAATATGTACGTGATTTTTTTTTTTTTTCCTCCAGGCTGCCTTGGAACACCCCCGCGTTTCCTCCGTGTGGACCCAGCCTTCCGCGCGATGAGTAGTGGGGATTGTAGTTTGCCCGCAGCTGCTGGCCCTGCGGCTGTCCCGACCAGGTTATGAGGAAGAGCGAGCCCTCGATCACCAATGGGAAGGTCTTTTCAGCCTCGAGGCCGAACCTTGGGGAGTTGGGAGTTTACACTTTCCATTCCTGGGCGTGACACCTGGAGGTCAAATGATGGAGATATGAAAATCAGTAAGCGTTCTGTCTGACGAGGGCAAAACCCGCCTTCTGCGCTCCTCCCCCTTGCTCCCCGCCTGTCTCCCCGTTTCTGCCCCCTTCTCCGCCCGGTCTCGCTTTACTCCTTTTTCCTTGTGTCTCTATAGCTTAACTTCTGTTCCTCAGCTTCTTTATCTGTAAAATAGGGATAGAATGGTACCTGCGTCCTAGGGTTATTTGAGGACAAAGTGAGTTCATGCTAAGGCTCTTAGAAGAGTATCTTTTCGCATAGTAAGTGCTCAATTAAATATTAGCTTTGATACCCTTCTCCCAACGTCGCCCTCCAAAAAGGGAGAGACAGAGAGAGAGAGGTTGGTAATAATAATAATAGGTGTGCACCACTAAGTTGAGAGCTTTTTATTTGGGACAGGTACTGCCATATCTTACTAGACTTACTACTACGAGGTACCACCACCCAGAACCCATAGCGCTTGTAAGTCTCTGTAAGTGTTTTTTTGAAGAATGAGGTTCGTGTCATCAAGATGGGTAACTAAGTGGCAATCCAGCATCTTCTAGATAAAACTCAGGGTAAGACTTGGTAAATTGGATGGCCTAGGCCTAGTGGGGAAAACACAAGTATATTTGGTGACGCTTGTGGGCACGTGTTGTACACACGGTCTTTCCTCCTTGTTAATTTAGGAGCAAAGAAACAGTAAATGAAACAATTTGGATAGAACATGGCGGTATTTTCGAGCCGCAGGCCGGAGTGTGTCATAGGAAGGTTTTCTGCCCTGGGTAAGCTTTAGGGCCTCTCCCAACTCCAAGCTAGAAAGTAACGACCATCCATCCATACCTTTCTGCATACCTACTGCTCTCTGAATACGTGAATTGATTAACCAAATTCCTTGTGGATTAAATAGGCTCTGAAGACTCTTGCTTTGTAGATTTGGGACGAATAATTCTGAGTTTGTGGGAGGTCTGCCCCTGCTAACATCCACCAGTATCCTCCTTCCCTGATTAGAGATGACTTGACCATGGGGACAGGGAGGTGGGGGGGGGGGGGGGGAACCCCTCTGATAGAAATATAATCATTTTAATATGTCTCCCTCTAGATCCAGAGAAGCCCATAATTTACAAACACTTTTAAAGTCAGTATTTATTATACCACAGTCTGAGAAAGGGTATTTTTTCCTAATTCTGCTGGACTGGCCCCTCTGAAGACCTCAACTGTCCAAAAAACATAGATCAGCCATATTCATTCTCTTTCTCCAGCCACCACTCCTGTTCAGCTGTTGACAGCTGTGTTACTCAAACTGCTTTTCACTGCTTCCCATAACGATTAGAACACAAAGTTTCATAACCCGTGATGACTTCTCAAAGTACTTCAGGGACTCTTTGCCAGCACTTATTTGCATAGGCATTGCTCCAGGTGTCCCATCTGTAGCTGCCCTTTGGGGAGGAAATACTTCTCAACCTTGGGTAACCTGCAGAAGGTAACTCCACCTTGTCTCCTTGCTCTGTTGCTTCAGATGCATGCACATAGTTTGGGTATTTGGCAAAACATATTTTTGTTCGCTTTTAAAGGAGAACTACCACCCCAAGTTGGGAAGCAGAAGGTAAAACATTTTCAGCAAGAAATGTTGGTGTGGTTTTCGGAACGGTTTTCCTTCCCCCTCTTATCTTTGCATTCCATTTGCCCACATTTGACTCCGTAAAGCTCTAGGCCTTTGGAGCACACCTGTGTTTATAAATCCTCACATTTGTCACCTTTGTAAGGAAAAACATCTGATATCAAAATTGGTTTGAGGTATTAAAAAAAAAATCACATAATCAACTAAGAGGAAAAATACAGGCTCTCAGGATATTTTCTATTTTAGCTTTTGCGTGGTTATGTAGTTATTAAGTAAATTCCAGTGGAGGCGGGGGGGGGGGGAATCATGGGAAATTGCTAGAACCTTCAGGGACCAGTTTTAAAGCAATAACCATAATATTTAAAAGATACCTATAGGGTCTGAAGGGGTATTGTGAAGTGTATACATACCAATTCACAGATTTATTTTTCAAGCAATGCTAGGACATGATAGGAGAAAAGGATTTTCCTTCTAGTTCTTTACTGGAGAGGGAAGCTGGTATTGGAGGGAATAAAAAGGGATGGGCAAAACCACAATGAGATACCACTTCACAACCACAAGGATGGCTATAATAAAAATAAATAAACACAAGTGTTAGTGGAGATACAAAGAAATTGGAACTCTCATCATTGCTGGTAGGAATGTAAAATGGTGCAGCAGTTGTAAGAAGACTGATAGTCTCAAAAAGTTAAGCACAGAATTATCACATGACCTAATAATTCCACTGCCAAATGTATGCCTTGGACACGGATGTTCATAGCAGCACTATTCACAGCAATGAAAAGGTGGAAACCAGCCAATGGCCAGCAACAAATGGATAGATGAACAAAATATGGAACATCTTTGTAATAGAGCAATACTTAGCAACGAAAAAGAATGAAATACTATCCATGCTATGAGTGAACCTTAAAAACATGCTAAGTGAAATAATCCCATTCCAAGAAGAGCACGTAGTATAGGATTGCATTTCTTTGAAATGTTTAAAATATGCAAATCTATACAAAGCAGATTGGGGTTGAGAGGCTTGGGAGATAGGAGATAGGAGAAGGATCGCTAAAGTGTATGGGGTTTCTTTTTGAGGTGATAAAGATGTTCTAAAATTGTGACGATGGTTGCACATATCTATGGATATATTGAAAACTTGTATTTGTCGCTTTAAATCAATGGAATTGTAGATAAATGAATTCTATCAATAAAGCTATGAAAATTTATTTTTTGAAAGAATGATAGGAAACATTCATTTCAAATCCTGTAACTATATCCTGGTAGATATATAGACATACTTCAGTGTTACTGAGGAAGAGCCTTAAACAGTACAGCTTCAATTTATTTTTAAAAATCTATAATTGGGGCGCCTGGGTGGCTCAGTCGGTTGAGCGTCTGACTTCGGCTCAGGTCATGATCTCACAGCTCGTGAGTTCAAGCCCCGCGTCGGGCTGTGTGCTGACAGCTCAGAGCCTGGAGCCTGCTTCCGATTCTGTGTCTCCCTCTCTCTCTGCCCCAACCCACTCACATTCTGTCTCTGTCTCTCTCAAAAATAAATAAACATTGAAAAAAAATTTTTTTAAATCTATAGTGAAGAAGATGCCAAGTACTTTAACCTTACAGATTTGATAATGTTCAACCGACATTTCCATGCCTAATTTGTGCCTGGCAATGTGATTTGTGCCATAGAGGACACAACCATTTTCAACTCCTTCAGCAAATCTTTGCATGAACAGAACCATGCACAGGTACTGTTCTAAGGATTGCTGATTCCGAGGCACATGAAGTTTATTTTCTAATGAGATGAGACAGATGAGGACACATTAAGCATATAGTATTAGAAAGTGATCGTTGCTATAAAGGAAAATAAAGTGAAAACAAGAAAAAGAGATGAAGGATAGGGTTGCCAGCGGTGAGGGTGAGAGTTGCAATTGACAGAGGGTAGTTGGGAAGTACCTCACTGAGAAGGGGCCATGCCTTGCAAAGAGCTGGAGTATTTTTCCTTCCCTGTGTGCTAGTAATTCTTCCTTTTCTCTCCTATATTATTCTTCTTTCTCCTGTCCTCTACTGCGTCATTCCCATCACCATACAAACTTGCTGCCCTATCATCCATCTTACAAGAGTCTGCTGACTCCACTTCTATCTCCAACTTACCCGCCATTTCTCTCCTCTTTGCAGTAAAACCTCTACAATACCTCTAGTCCCATTCTTCCTGGGTCTGTCCGTAATCAGGCTGTCACTGCTCAGAAATTGCTGTTGCCAATATCACTAATGACTTCCACATTGATAAATCTGGTTAGCCAGTTTAATTAGCCAGTTCTCAGTCCTTTGTCGTTCCTTCTCATCTCCCCAAACCGAACAATCAATTGTTCAAAAGACTTCCTCTCTGATACACTTGTTTTCGTATTGCTCTCATTCTGATGATTTTAAATGCCATCTATAACCTAATAACCCCACTTTATGTCCCTACTGCAGAAAATTCATACCAGCTCAAACCCATATCCCAGTACCTTATTCACATATCTGAACATATCAATCCCCCAAAACCCAGCTCTTCAGCATTATTCCCTATTTCAGTTAATGTGAATCTCTTTTTCCAATCGACCAGACTAAAAAACTATAGTCATCCTTGACTCCTCTTTCTTTCACATTCTACATCATGTTTGCTATGGACTGAATTGCATTCCCCAAAATTGCTATGTGGAAGCCCTAACCCTCAATGTGACTATCTTTGGAGATAGGACTTTTAAAAGGAGGTAATTAAGGTTAAATAAGGTCATGGGGTGGGGTCCTAATCTGATAGGACTGATGGCCTTACAACAAGACAGGGTGGGGGGGATCTCTCTTCGTGAGCATATAACAAGGAAAGGCCATTTGAGGACACAGCAAGAAGGTGGCCATCCGCAAGCCAGGAAGAGAGGTCTCACCAGAACCTGACCATCCTGGAACCCTGATCTCAGACTTCCAGCCTCCGAGTGTGAGAAAATAAACACTTGTTTATCCATTGTTTAAGCAGCCCAGTTGATGGTATTTCGTTACAGCAGCCCAAGCAGACTAAGCCACTATTCCTTACCAAATCCTATTGGCTCTACCTTCAACATATATTCAGCTTACAACCAATCTCCTATTCTATTATACAATAGTAGAACCAATTCTATTATCCTCTTCCCCAAGCTACCATTATCTCTTACCTCAAATACCGTAGTACTCTCCTAACTGAATGTACATGTCAATCCTCCTCATCAAGAGGTGGAGTCAGTTTTCTCACCCCCTAAAACTGAGTTGGCCTTTTGATTTGTTTTGACTAATACAATGTGGGGGAAGTGGTACTGGGTCAGTACCTAAGCCTAGACCGTAAGAGACCCAACAGCTTCCCTTTTAGCTCTCTTGGAACCTTAAGCCACGTAAGATGTCTGACTA